ATGTTTCAACCAATTAGCCATTTCTATTTCCTGTGAAAATCGTTCTTTAATTTGCTTGGAAGTGCAAAAGCTCTTTTTATTTACTTTTATCATATGTCATATAATCCCTCATATTTTATTGCAAAATATTTTTTCTCTCTATTTTTATTATCTTTTTGTTGATGAAAAAGAGGGAGAAACTCATTGGAGTATTTAAGAGGATAAAGTATTTTTGAATGCTTTTATTTACCTGAACCCTAATTTTTTTTATTTTGCTTTTATCTAAACATTGTTTATTGTTACCAAAATAAGTTTAATTAACTTGTATAGGACTTAGGGGGAGCTTACAAAACTCAACCTTTGAACTATTAGATTCAATGGGAGCTTACAAACCTCAGACTCTGATGTTGTCAAGTTAGTTAAACTGACCAGCCATTGTTCTTAAATACCTTTAATTGTCATCATCAAAAAGCGGAAAATTGTTGGAACAAAATTATTCATATCCCTTGGGTTTGATGATAACAAAGTACTTAAAGAACAATTGATAATACTAACATATATTCAAGTGTGCAAGATCATGAGCTTAAAATTCATCTCTGAATTCACATTCTTAAAAGAATGTGCAGAGAAGCAAAGTGACTCAAATTATGAAAGATCATAATTTGATGACTCTGAACTTGTATATCAGCTTTTGAAGGATCAGAATCTGATCACAATATCCCTGCCTCTAGTGACAGCTCAGACTCGAAAGACCTTAGCTAAAGGTGCTCAGCCTTTGATCTGTACTCTGTGAAAAAGTATACCAGTCTTGTAAAAAAACCAGAGTTTGAAGAAAGTTAACTAGGGTTTCATTTTTGCAAGGCTAAAAAAATGGTGAAGTGACCTCTTAAGTCTGTCCAACCTTTTGATAAATACCTAGTTGAGAAAAACACCTTGGACAATGCTATTTCTCATTGGACAATAATCTTAACTGATTTACTCCTCCAACGTCTCTCTTGGATTGCTTCCTAATTAAGACTCTTATTCAAGTCACCTTCAACGACTATTTTTCTGCCTCTATAAAAGGGAGTCAAAGATTTAAAAGAAGGTTACAACACAACACTCTATATTTTTTAGCTAAATTTTTTTAACTGTTATTGCATAAGTTCTTAAATATTTCTTAGCTTTGTATATCTAAGAAATCTTAAGTGTTAAAAACCTTTGTGGTTTTTCTACAACTAATATACTTCTGATTGTGTATCAAAGTATAGTTGCAATGATTTCTACTAAAATGTTTGTTTAAAGTAAATGAGGTCTCTTGCAAGGTTGCTTGAGCAGTGAAGTCTCTTGCATGTGTGCTTGAGCATTGAAGTATCTTTCTTGTGTGATTGAGCAAAAGTCTCTTGCTAGGTTGCTTGAGCGGAAGTCTCTTTCTAGTGTGATTGAGCATTTGAAGTCTCTTTATGGTTTGATAGAGCAAAGTTGTAATTAGTTTGATTATAGTGAAAATATCTTATTGAGACAAGGGGATTGTACTATTCTTAATTTAGGAAAGAAACCAGGATAAACTCTGTGTGTTGATTTGTTTACTGCTTCTGAACTTTATTCTTTCCGTTGCTATCAACACCTCTAATCAGACTCTAAACTCATTCAGAATCTGAAGCTGAGTTTTCAAAAGTGAAAAAGAAATAACATACATAATTCAACCCCCTTCTTGTGTATTTTTCTCACCTTCAAAACCAACTGGAAGTCAACCGTCAGGTATGTCTGTTTGAAGTCAATTGTCTACTGCATATTTGAAACATCTTTATTTGTCTTAATTTCCTGATTTCTTACATCCATACATTGATGACATTCTTGATGTGGGTGACGATGGAAATTGTGATTTTTGGGCTATTGCAGCTTTACTTGGATGTGGAGAAGAGCCATGGCCTTTGATTCGGACGCGGTTAGATACTCAAGTTAATCAACACTCTCAATTTTTTTCCAATTTGTTCTATGACATGGTCTTTGAAGTTAGAAATATGTTACGAGTAGAAAACTTAGGTGTGCATGGTATTGATAAATGGATGATGATTCTTGATATGGGTTACTCTATTGCTTGTAGATACAATGTCGTATTTGTCTCCCTGTCAAAGAGACTTAACATTACATTTTTCCATCTTACCTTAACTCCACTTATGTATACAAGCAGACATAAAATCATTGTTGTTGATTTTGTCAACAACAATCATTGGGTTCAAGTAAAGTTGAAACCCGATTCTCCATTACCTCCCGTCACTGATCGTTGGAGACAAAATTGTATTAAAGATGCAAAAGCATGAGAATCAGCATATGCAGGACGCATTAGGTACCGGGAAGATGAAGGTAGGAAGTCATCCTAATTTATTTTGTAATCTTGTATGTAGAATAATTTTTACTATATGTATATATTTTATCGGATAGTTTTTATATCGACTCAATTATGTAGGAAAAAATTGAACAACTTTCACTTACTGAATACCGAAAATTTCTCAAATTTCAGATGAAAAATACCGTAAATTTCAACATTTTTGAAATTTTGTGGCTTTGCAATTTTTGGAATTTTATGGTAACTCCTAAAAATTTCATAATTTCTAATCAAACATTTTAGATCACTATCGAAAATTTTACAATTTTTGATATGTTTATACCGGTAATGTTACAATTTGCGGTATATTTATACCAAAAATTCTAAATTCACGGTACATGTGTCTTTGTTGCAGTAAAAAAATTAAAAATTTTGAAAATTTTCGATGCATATTCCAAATTTTCAGTAAAAACAGATAAATTTTTTTTTAAAAAATGGTGTTTATAAAAGGACATAACAACAAAGTGCTCTAAATGTAAGGGTGACAAGTTAAAACCTCCGCCCTACATCATCCCTTATTAAAAACAATATGGCTCCACCAAATAAAATTTCTTTTAGACCCACTCACAATATTTGTACAAAAATAGTGTTGTGTTGGCTATACCATACCTATAACATACTTATACAAAATAAAATTTTATACTAAACATATTTAAAAATAAGAGAGTAATAGTAAATCAATAATTCAGATAGATCATATAATTTTATTTTATTTTATTAAAGAGAGTGCATAACGCCTAAAGGAAGAAAAATAACTACACCGACACAAATTGTGGAGTGGAAACCCCTGTCAGGTTAGTGTCTAACAAATGAGTAACAAACGGAGGACAATAATTAAAAACACAAATTTCTTGCTATAGTGAGAGACCATTTTGCTATAGTGAGAGGCCATTTCTAGCAAGGACATCTGCATAACGATTAGCTTCATGGTAGACATAGTTAATAGTGATCTCACTATTCTGGAGAAGGTAGCATCTGATCATGGAAATTAAATTCCTACTCATTGTGTTGGTTGTATTGTTCTAGTTAATATCAAGAACCACTTGTTGAGCATCAAGGTTCACGTCGATGCTTGTGAATCTCATCTCAGCTGCAAGCTTCAATCCTTCATAAACTCTCCATAGTTCAGAGGTGTAACTATTACAGATTCCAATAAACTTATAATAACCTCTTATCCATTGTCCTTCATCCCCTCTAATGATGCCACCACAACTCGCGTTACCACTCTTATCTCTAGCTTCTCCTGTGTTAAGCTTCACTCTCCCTAAGACAGAAGCTTGCCACTTGATTAATGCTAACTTCCTACAATGGTCTCAGTTTATACCTATAGCAGCATTAACTTGTTTGTATTCATGAACTAACATTTTTATGTGTTGCTCCATGTCGGCCGGTCTAGAAAAATTAACTTCATGCAATTCTTCGTTGTGTCAACTCCAAAGGTTATGACATCCAGTTGTCCAAAAGAGCTTCCAATCCTCATTGTCTTGCCACTCCATATTACTGTATAAATGATTAGAAGTCAAATGCTGAAGATCACCTGCAAAAAATACAGCTCTCATGTTAGTATGGACCTCCGACATCCACAATGCCATGGCACGCGGGCAGTCACGAAGAACATGAAATGTATCCTCTTTGACATCTTGACAAAAAGAGCACAACGCACTTCCACTTCCAACCGGCTTTTCTTCACATTGGTAAGTAACCCGTCATGCATTAGGAGCCATAAAAAAGTTCGTATCCTGTGACTAACGTGCATTCTCCAAATTTCTGGTCAAACATCATTCTCCATGAGCTCATTATTTCCATCTAGCATGCTGTACATGGAGCCTACACAAAATTGCTTGTTATTCTTTCCAATACCCACAATCTCATCCGATCCTGCATCACTAAAAGGTGGAAGCAGGCAACGAATTCTGGCTCGAATCTCCACTGGCAGCCAAGGATCAAGAGTCTCCCAATCCCAATCACCATGCACAGTCACCAAGTCGCAAACTTTTGTTGCATGGAGGTGCATGGGAATCGTGATTCCAAGGTCAGCAATTCTTATGCCTTGGCCCACCCAACAATCATTCTACGCTGCAATACTGTTTCCATTACCAACAGCCCACGTACAATTCTGAAAAATCTTTGGCCAAATACTCACCGTGCCTTTCCAAAAGCTTGAATCCGTGTTTCTAGCGCTCATGCTGCTGTTGTTGTTATCTCTACCATATTTCCCCCAAACAACTTGTCTCCAAAGATCATATAATTTACAAATTATAACATTCACTGCCCAATTTAATGAGTTATAAGCATTGCCATCAACCTTGATTGCAAGAAGGTTAAGGAAACATGAACAAAAAGATTCTAAGAAAACAAAAAATGATTTAACTGATATAAACTAGCATTGTAAAGACTTTTATACAGTCAATCAATAATAGTTGCTTGATCATGATTCATTAAAAATATCTGATTTCAATCGTATCTTACTCAAAAGTTATACAAACAATGGTCTGTAATTGGTTGATGTAAAAAATTTTAGACCAACAGCACGCATCAAAATTAATCTCAAATCAAAAAACTATATTACTACTGATTGCCGTGAACATCACAGATATACAATACATACAATGCAGATACGGTACATGTAATGTGGTAGGTAATACTACCATGGTCATCTAGAAAACAATCGATCCCATAGGATTTGTTCATCAATCTTGCTCAGCTTCTCATCATCAAGTCGTTTCCATGTTGTAATTCTCTGCACCCTTGTCCAAGAATTTCTTCCCTTCTCAAGTTCAGCAAGTATAATCCTTGCTCTTCTAGGCCACCCAGCTTTTCCATAGGCATGATAGCCAAAGCCACCACCGTAACAAAACCATATGCCATCCAAGTTTCCACAAAAGTCATTTATATGATCGTGGCCTATGAATACAGCCTTCACATCTCCCATCGAGACAAGCGTTGGCAAGACCGGTGAGTTCACCAGTGAACAAGCTACCCTCTCTTGGAATTGGCCTACAATCTTTTTGTAAAACAGGTTCCGAACTTCTGGGATCGGAATATGGAAAAATGCAAGTGATGGCGGTGTAATTGGGGTAGTATCATGATCAGTAGATTGAAGAGGATTCTGCTCTTGTCCCTGTTAGTGTGACCTGCAAGATGTTAATGGGATGTGGGAATTGGGAAACCTCCCTTAAGGAAAAAGAAAGTTCATGTCCTGTGAATAATAGAAGAAGAACGTAATTGCATTATTACCTGGGGTTCCTGAGATACATGACGCAGCCAATGAAGTTGAGAGTCCTTGATCCAATCATAAGTTCGAATTCCCTGATAAGCAACCCTGTCGCCACTATCAAGAAAGAAAAGATTCAAAACACTACTATTTGCCAGCATGGAACCTGGGGGACCATATACTCTTAGGTTATAATTTCCAAAACCATCAATTTTAGATGTCGTGCAGCCTTTTGCAGAATCAGCAAGACAGTCAGCTGAAGGATTGATCTGGGAAACTGAATAGTCCATAAGGGAGATTAAGGACATTAATTCTTCACGATTCAAACTTGATTCTTGGTCATGGTTTCCCAAAATTGCAGCCCAAGGAAGTCTTGATTCAATGGCAGGACCAAAGGCTTGAAACAGAGATTCGGCAGCATCAGAGCTGCTTGGTCCAAATATATTATCTCCTAATACCAATTACTGAATCCATGTCAATGAGGCACGTTCAGAAAATATACGAACACAATCAGCATAAAATAAATTAAATACATTCAAATATCACATGGCTATTAAACATTAAAGATAAGGACCCACCTTAAGAGCAATCATGTTTAGCCCAGCCATGTCAGATATTATACAGAAATAGTAATGGTATATTTCCTTTTTTATCTTAAGCCTCCAGTTTCCAGAGGAAAAAGACCTTAGTACTAAAATATTCGGCCAGGTTATAAGTAATGTCCAGTTAAGAAGTGCTCTAACCTGGGATCAAACATGTTACATGGCTACTATCCAAGGATTCAACCCTACACAAAGTGCATTAACTACTCCCGCTCAACCACTTAGATTGTAATGGTATAGTTTCATTTAAGAAATAAGCAGGAAAAATTAATTTTCAGCCCAAGAATGGTTTGAATGCTGCTACTAGAACTGAATCATTAGAAAGGGAAAAGCCTCTTCACTATGAAACACGGACACTGAAAACATGACACCGACACTAATACGTCGACACCGGTGATAGTTTGAAAAAATGAATAAATTAAATGTAATCACAAGTGTCAGTGTCAGTTTCGAACATTGACACTGACACGGACACGCCTTTTTTCAGAGGTGTTGGTGTTACATAACTTACTGCTACAACTCTACTAAAGGAACTAATATAATATAATTCCTATTGTAGCTATTGTGCACTAGCTGCACAATATACCTGCCCTGTACAACTTTTCCTAACTAATCCCTAGAATCTAAGAAACAAATCCATAAGATCTAGGAGCTAAATAACTGATTTAGTTACTTGTCTGAGTCTATAAATAGATCACACCAGTTGTATTTCAGTTCAGAAAATATATAAAACATAAAACAGAAGAATTTGTTAGAAATTATTTCTATCAATGAAAATATAGAATACTAACATGGTATCAGTAGAAACACCCCTCTGTCCAGAGGCCTCCGGACCCCCATCTCCAATTCTCCGCATTGATTCATCTTCCCCTACACGCAAACGTTCGTTCTTTGCAATCTCTGAAAAACTGGATTCAGATAACTATTTTCTATGGTGTCAACAAGTGGAATTTGAGATCAAAGTTCACACACTCCACAATTGCCGGCTAAATCTTCAAATTCCAGTGAAAGTCACTTGTCTTAAAGATGCATATCACAACCGTATCTCCCCTGCATTTGAAGCATGGGAACAGCAAGATCAAGTTCTCCTTGTGTGGTTGGTTACAATCTATTTTCTTTTAATAAGCTACAATCTATTATCTATTGCGGCATGTTCCGGTGTGTTATTGGCTGTAAAAGCTCGTGGATGCTTTGGGACAAAATCCATGTGTATTTTCAACAACGTTTTGCGGCAAAGTTGTGTTGTGCCAACTTTGATCGGAGCTCCGGTACACGCGATTGGAGAATTGCAAGAAGTCCGTTTTGGAATTTTTGTTGTGAATTCAATCTCTAATTGGAACTATCAATGTGATTGGTGAACCAATCGCGCCTTGTAAACACTTCGACGTCATCCTTGAAAGCTTGCCTAAGGATTTCGAGTCCACAATCAACATCGTCACTAGCAAATTCAAAAGTGTGTCAATCGAAGAAATCAAGACTTTTCTTCTATGTCATGAATCCCGCTTGGATCGGTTTCGTAAAAACACAATCTCACATGTGAATGTGAATCTCACAATTTCATCCACTGCTTCAAATGCTACACCTAATTTCACCAATCTTCTGATCAATTTCCCTGAGTCGCGTCCTCGATCCTCATATCCAACACATTCGGCCAATTTTCAAGCTCATGGAGGCCGTGGTGGTTGTGTTCCTGGTCGTAATGGCCGTGGTAGCTTGATTCAATGCCATGTATGCAGAAAATACACTCACAAAGCGTCCATTTTCTATCATCGTTTCAAGAGAGACTTTGTTGCCTCTATTTCTCAAGATGAATCACCTATTTAACCTTAATCTACTCTATTGTGGCCAACTCAGAGAATTTCTTACACACGAGCTTCAACTTCACAAGCTCGCTCCCAACCTCTGCCTTGGCCTTACTCTGCTAAAGGTATCTTTGGACCTCAATACCATATCCCATACCCTTCCATACCTACCACGCCTCAGCTTATGATGCCTTCTATGAATCCTGCACCAAACTCCAGTATGCATCTTCCACATGTGCCTTCCAGGTGTATCATACGGCTCCTAGGTGTATCATACAGCTTCTGCACCATCACCTCAAGCTCTCTATATCAATTCTGATCTGCCTGCATCCACAAACTGATATCAATATTCTGGTGCATCTCATCATGTAAGTTCAATTGGTGTCAACATTTAAAAACATTCCAACTTTGAAGGTCCAGATCAGATTTACATTAGCAATGGCCAAGGTTTTTCAGTATCCTCTATTGGTTCCTCTACTTTCAATTCACCACTACACCCCACACTCAAACTCACACTACATAATTTGCTGTGTACCTATTATCACAAGGAATCTATTAAGTGTGAGTAAACTTTCCAATGACAATAAAGTTTTTTTTGAATTTCATTCTGACACATGCCTTGTTAAAAAAATACTACTAGAGAAGTTTTAATTCAAGGTCAATTGGGATATAATGGTGTCTACATGTTCCCTAATTTACTGCCTCAACCATTAACTCTTTCATGTCTCACCTCTGCTACATTTCCTACTGCTAATTCTCTTTCAAATAGTAGTGCTAATTCTTAGTCTTTGTGGCACAACAGACTTGAGGTATCTCAATGGTACTATCTCTTGGAGTCTTCATCTTGAGCCTACATCTATCTCTCCCATTTCACTCCATGCCTAATGTGATTTTGACTGGGGTTCTGACCTTGATGACAGGCGCTCTACTTCTGGGGCGTGTGTTTTCTTGGTAAGACTCTCATATCATGGTGGGCCAAGAAGCAACATTTCATTTTTTGTTCTAGTACTGAAGTTGAGTATCGAAGCCTGGCCCTAGCCACTTCTAAGCTACTTTGGATCCAGTCCTTTCTTCCTTCTTCAAGAACTGGGCATCTCCTACTCACCTCCCACCATCTACTATGAACACTATTTCCTTGGCGCATAACCCTATTCTTCATGCTTGAACCAAGCACATAGAGATGGACTTGTTCTTTTTTTTTTAAATAAGGTGTTCAATAAACACCTCCAAGTTTTACACATTTGAGGTCAGCATCAGTGTGTTGATATCATGACCAAAGCACTTCCTCCCACAAAGTTTGAAGAATTTAGAACCAAGCTAACTGTGTGGGATTCTTGTCTATCCCCTTCAGTTTAGCTTGCAGGGGTATTAAAGGAGCTAATATAACATAATTCCTACTGTAGCTATTGTGCACTAGCTGAAGAGTATACTTGCCTTGTACAGTTGTTCCTAACTAATCCCTAGAATCTAGAAAACTAATCCTTATGATCTAAGAGCTAACTAATTGATTTAGTTAGCTAAGTTAGCTGCGTGGGCCTATAAATAGATCATACAAGTTGTATTTAAGTTCAGAAAATATATAAAATAGATAATGGAAGAATTCAGTTAAGAATTCTCTCTATCAATCAATGGAAATATAGAATTCTAACAAACTGAAATAATCAATTAAATAAGTTGGTCCATCAAGGCGCAAGAGCTTGAATTCAGTAAGTATATCCTAAGTTAGAATCCATTTTTAATCTATTTCATTTGGTCATTTTTATTGTAGTTCAAGCCAAATGGAATAATTTGAATTGGAATTCTATTCTTATCTTTACTTCTATCTAGTTAAGAAATATGAACGGCTAAACAAGCAAGTACAAATCTTATTAGATTCTCCAAAAATGCACTCAAAAGACCGGCTTTCTCAATGTCACCCTACTTTGTTAGACCTATAAATAATAAGAAACAAATATCTCACTAGCTCTGCTTATAGTACCATATAGTTTGCAAATACGCATTACTTGCAACATGGAAGGCCGTTTATAATTGTCTCTTCTTTGTAAGAAACATCTGGTTGTTGTTTCCTAGAAGAGTCTGCCTCCTAATTTACAATGCACAATCCAGCTTGACTGACTCTGTGGAATGACAGGTGGTATGATTGACCCTTAGGCCAAGTATATAATACAAACACAGAAGAGTGGGATTGAAAGTTAGCTGAATTTTAGGGTATGTTAGAATCGACGGAGTTAGAAAGTTCCCCAAAGTTACCTGAAGAAAAATATCCATTAGAGACGTTGGATAAAATAAATTTGTTTTTATAGGTACTCAGTTAGCACATGCTGAACCAGAAGGAAGAGAGAATTCGAAGGAATAAGGACTGAGTTTAGGGACAGCCCAGAATTGTGAGCCATTATTAGTTTGAACAAGTTCCGCCTCTCAGTTTTTCCTTCCCCTTCTTTTTATGTTTAAAATCCTCCAAAAAATGAAAGAATAAAGAAGGCTTTTGCATGATCACGAAAAATTCCTCATCATATCTCTCCCTCCTTTCCCGTTATGCCACAACTTTGGTATAAACAATTAAGCTACTTTATCCAAAGATATGATCTCAAAAAAGAAAGTAAACACAACGCCAGTATAGCCTTACTTGGATAAACAGGTTTATCATAAAAGAACTTACTTATAAGTTGTTTCTATAATAAAAGATTAAATTAGGACCTGTTTGGATGGGCTTATTAGAGCTTATCTACTGCCATAAATTTTGTGATACTGTTTGGAAGACTTAACCAAACCAGCTTATTACATTTTTTATAAATTATTTTTATAAATTCTTCAAGATAGCTAATGAAAACAACTTATAACACACTTAAAAACAATTTAAATTTATTTTATCTTTTGTTATAAAAATAGCTTATATAAACTTATTCATAAGTGTTTATTTTGATAAGCACTTGTGTTATAAGCTGCAAATAAGCTGTTCATCCAAACAGATCCTAAGTCAAGTTGTTATCATATAAGCTATTAACTATATTCATAAGCTATCCAATCCAAGAGAACTTAAGAAAATAAACTGAAAACATATGTCATAAGATGATGTTTCCATAAATTCTCCCAAAAAGCGGTTATATCACTATAGATCAAAGCAAACACTATGTCAAAAACTGAAAATTCACAAAATAGTAACCAAAAACCAGAACAATCCAAAAATAAATAACTGAACTCATATCAATAAAATTACCGGTAAATGCAATAAAATCAGGACTCTCAGCTTGAATAATCCGCTTCAAAAACCTAGTAGTATTAAGATCCGAACAAAACTCGAACTCAGAAGCCAACACATCCCTGCATCTCGTTACTATTCCATTTCCATAATGCATATCAGCAACCTATACATCATCACCAAAAAAACGAAAATTAAATACTGCAAATCGAAAATCGTGATTATTTCTTCATGCTGTAAAAAATTGAGAGGAACGAACTTGGAGGATTTTGAAGGTACCGTCGGAACGGAACCGGAGAGGAAGCTCGGAGGTTTTCTTGATCCGCACCGTTTCGTTGCCGATTGTGAGTTTACGTGAGAAATTGCTTTGATGTGTAAGGTGAATGATTATGATAATGAAGGTGAGGTAGAGTAGAGAGTGTTTCCAGTTTTTTTCTGTTTTTTTGGTATCAGACTCCATTAGCTTTAGTTTTTGTTTTCTGCTTTTTTTTTCTTATATTTTTTCTGTGAATCGACTTATAGGTTCTTTTTTACAAAGCTAAGTTAAAACTCAGACATATGGATTAATATAATTGGTTAATCAAAGAATGACATGGATTAATATAATTGATTATTAAAAGAGGTTAAAAAATCTTGCAAATTAAAAATTGAATTTCAAATTCTGAATAGATTTTTAACTTTGATTTTGAGTGTGTTTCATTGGGTTCAATGAAATATCGGAGTGCATTTGATTTTCAATTTTAGTAAGTTGTTAATTTGAATATAAAAATTTAAATTTGTTTTTTTTTTATTTACCGTGTTTTTGAGAGTTTATTGTGTATTGAGTGCGTTTGAATTTTAGAGTTATTTTTAAAATTTTATTAGAGTGCAATGTGTAATGCCATGATAAATATGTTAAAGGTTTTATGAATCAAGTTGTGTGATTATAATGCACATCTGCGACGGAGCTAGGGACTTAGCTTTAGGAATGGGGTGCAAAAATAAATAAATTCAATATATGTTGAGGTTCATTTGAACCCCCTTAAACGAGACTGCTTATGTCCTTAGTGTTTTATTATTTTCAAATTTTATTTTATTTTTAAGAATTGTTCAGCATTGACTATATTAACTCTCGACCAACCATTCTAAAAGAGTTACATTCCTTCTAAAACCTTTTTAGCATACGAGCATTACCCTGTAATCGAAAGTAGAGGATTCAATCTCCCGATGCATCTAACGACTTTTAGCAATTCACTTCTAACAAATAGCAATTTTGTTTTTTCATCCCTATTATATATACAGAACACCCAATTTCAAGTATTCAGTTTTGAATTCAATTATAAGTCACTCTTCTTCCACACATAATGAATTGAGTGTTGGAGTGTTAACTTTGCAGGTCAGTCCCCTCTATGTCGTATCAGAAGCAAAGATTTGTTGTTATCCCCGACTTTTACTCCATTTTTGGTTCCAGTACGAAATAGTGGTGTCGTCTGTAGGAATCGACTTCTGATTCCTGCATTTTTCACGATTTCACCTTTGCTCTCTGATTCGCCAATTCGAAACCTTCTCGGGTCATCAAATCAAGATCACTCGAAATCGAACATAAAGATTTTTCGCATTTAATCTAATCAAGCATCATTTCAACTTTGGATTCATGAATTTCCAGATCTTTAATTCCTACGCTTCCAAGTAATGGATGGATCCAAAGCTACTTGCTCCATCGCAGTGCGAGAAGTTATTGTCACAGCTCAAGCAGCGGTCAATCAACCATCTCCTTCACAAGGCGCCGTGAATCCAGGAGCAGAGATTTCATTGCATCTAAATCTATCCCATACACCTCATATATCTGAATCTGTCCAAATGCCTATGAGTGGACCTTTGATTCCACCTCTAGTTTCACAACCTGAAGCCTTACCTAGTTTTCACCTACTGCGGGCAAACCTTGGATTGCAAAGCACTAACGAGTTGCTAAACAACATGTACAACATCTGTAATACCTCAATTTTATCCGGACAAATAAAAACATTTTTGAAAAAAAATTTCAACACACACCATTCTTCTTCATCAACTCAAAAGCAAAACAACACAAAATCATTACTACCTAACCATTCTTCATATCCATCTTCAACCATACATCATCTTTATTCACATAACAACCTCACCATTTTTCAACCATAACAACATCACCATATTTAAAACATTTCTACAACAAACTTCACCACCACCTACATCAAAGGACACAATAATATTACTCAGAACAACAACAAACAACACAACAACAAATCTGAAAGTAAAAAGAAGAAGAAAACTAAATAGAATGAGAAAAAGGATATATGAGCTTCCCAGTTGCCGAAAAATTAACTTGACCTTTCCATGCACACTACCCTCGTCGCCGAGAATCCGACCAAATACCCATGTCTTTGCTGCAAGTCGTACCTCCATCGTTGCCGGATAAGGGAGAAAGAAGACCATGACTAAAAAAGAAAAGAGATGTTTATGCATTTTTTTTGTTTTCTTTGTTTTTACATTTGAAATATATATATATATATATATATATATATATATATATATATATATATATATATATATATATATATATATATATATATATATATATATATATATATATATATATATATATATATATATATATATATATATATATATATATATATATATATATATATATATATATATATATATATATATATATATATATATATATATATAGAGAGAGAGAGAGAGAGAGAGAGAGAGAGAGAGAGAGAGAGAGAGAGAGAGAGAGAGAGAGAGAGAGAGAGAGAGAGAGAGAGAGAGAGAGAGAGAGAGAGAGAGACTCTGTGTGTGCGTGTGTGTGTGTGTTTGGTGGTTCGGGTCATAAACTTCCTGAAATCAAACCTCTAGAGAATACTTTCCCTGTTTTGTACATTGGTAGAATTCCATAGGGGTTCTATGAGAATGAGATGGAAGTTAACTATGCGCAATATGAAACCATCAAGAGATTGAGAATAGCTAGAAATAAAAAGGTCAAGTTCATAAACTTGTTTTTTTTTCACCTGGCTTGTGTTTGCTTACATTTGTTTCAACTATCTATATGATGATGACTACAAGAAAATGCTTGTTTAGAGAGGGGTATTTTCTAGGTGAAAATTCTCTCACTAAATGTATATGGTTCTTAGGATTTATCCCCTTGCAAATATTAAGGAGGGAGTTTTAATTTTTTAAAATTTAGCATTTGCGATGCGCTACCTCTACCCAATATTTTCCGTAGCTTTTGCGAAGGGCGCCCCCATGCATGTTTTTTCAGATTATTTTTCTTCTTGTCCCATCATCACTAGCGCGTGTTAGTACCTTTATTGATGGCATTTACGTTTGTGATGCGCACCCCCTAGCCACTTATTATTGTTGTATTTGTGAGGGTTAACCTCTCAAAACTTTTGTGATTCTTTTATACGTTATCACATCACCCTGAGCGTGTGTCAACTGTTTTGTGATGACATTACAATTTGTGAGGTACTACCACAAGCTAATTATGACCATTTAGCATGGGTGGGGAGCCCCCTTGCAGATTGCTTCATATATTTCCAACGTCACGCCCACTTTTCTATTCCACCGCTTCTGATTCTGCTTCAGCATTCTTTCTCTTTGCTCTCTCTTTGTTTTCCAACTAGTTTTCCCCCATTTTCACTTCCTCTACCTCAAACATTCACCATTTAAATTAGTTTTTTCATCAACAAATCTTCAACAACACATCTAGTTAAAGTTAATTTTTTAAATTTTGCATTTGTTTTGTCTTTGTTTTTTGTTTTTCAGTTTACATCAAATTCCTAATATTAAAATTTATTTTTCAATTTCCATTTGTTTCTATAAAGATTTAAAATTTTGCAAGGAGATTCAAATCAAAGGTTTGCAGTTGTTTGATTTGTTCATCCAAGGTACACTTTTCTTCTCAATTTTTTTTTTTTGAAAATTTGGATGTATTGATAGTTGTTGATATTGGTGTGTTCTTAAGTGTTATATGATATATTATGTATTATGTGTTGTTAATAGTATTTTTGAAATAATACTTAATTATAATTTTGTTTTTAAAATATATTATGTTGGTGTGCTATTGGTGTGTTTTAGATATAATATTGTTTTCCAAATTATGTTGGTGTGTTGTTAATAATATGTTATGTATTATATGGTATTTGGATCGAACTATAGTCTCAACATGGATAGTTTCATGGTTCGACAAAGGTTTAGCAGGTCTAATTAGACCTTACTTGTAAGCCCAACTATTAAATTATTTTGTAGTTTACGTTAGCTTAGTAGCCTATAAATAGACTAGTTCTCTGAAATTGTTGAGAGAGAAGTTAATTATTATTATTCATTTGTAATCTTTGAAATCTTATTGAGTAACTAAATAGTAAAACCAGTTTTAACTAATTTCAATTTTTCTTCCTTCTTCTCTCTCGTAAAACTTAATAAGGTTTGTTGTGTTTGTTCAAAAAACTCAATTTTTATCATATTTTGATTTGATTTTGACGACATTGATTCACAATATATTATTATTATAAATACTAGCGTCCAGACGGGCTTTATATAAACGATACTTTTTGTTTAAATAATTTTAAAAAAAATACAATATGTGGAAGTTAATAATAAGAAATTATGTGGAAGTTAATAATAAGAAGTTATTAAGTAAATTATATAATAAAGTAAGGGCAAAAATGGTAGAAAAATAAGTCACACCAAAACAAAGTTTTCTCTTTATATATTTTATATATTAAGTATTTTAGATATATTATTTTAGAAATAACACGTAAAAATTATTTTAGAAATTATATAATGTTTTATCTCTATAAATTATTAATTTAGTTAATATTAAGCATTTTTTAAGTAAACATAACACTCAAAAATTATTTTAGAAATATTAAGTATTATGTGATATATAATATTATAATAAAATATTATTATATTTCATAACAAAAAATCAGATATTTGGAGATATTCTGTTTAGATTATGATTGATTTATTTTTTTAATGAATTTTTATGGTTTTTGTGATTTTTTTTCTTTATGTCAGATTTTTTTTTTCATTTTTTTAGAGAGATTATGCTTGATTTATTGTTTGTATGAATTGTAATGATAACTATTGAAGAAAATATGTGAACGTTTTTGTTAAATTTATTCTTAATTGATTTAGATTTTATTTCAATTTTCATGATTTTATTGTCTCTAGATCAAAACCATCAATAAGATATAAATAATATTCTATTTTTATGAATAATTTTTTTCATAATTTAGTTTTTTTTTTGTTTTTTAAAAATAAATTAACTTTTTTATGAATAACATTTTTTAATTTGTTTTTTATAAAGAAATGTTTTCATTAATTAATATAAGAAAAAATAACATGTAAAATAAGAGGTGTAAACTTAAATGGTCCATGCCACTCAAAATGTGTCACATGTTTATAAAAAGTTACAAACAATTATGTATT